TGATGATGATGATGATGATGATGATGATGATGATGATGATGATGATGAACAACATATGATGTCAAAGTGACTACCATCAGCATCTATTGACTGTTTTTTGATGTCCCTTACTTTCAATCGATTTCTTGAAGCTCAAGTCAGGAACTCCAAAATGCTGGCGACCCACTTGCGGTGCCTTTGACATGAAGGGAGTCCCCTTCACCCACGAAGAACCCGCCCTAAACGCCCGCCTGGACCGCCTGGAACCAGCCGAGACCTCTGAGACCCGTTACGGGTGGGGCGACCTGGTGGACCCCCCCTCTCCAACGAGACCTGACGGCGACGGAGGCGACCCGTTTTGGACCGGACGGTCCGGTCGACGCCCAAAGGACCCGCTGAAGAAGAAGTCGGACTGAGCACGCCTGGGTAGACATGGGGACCAGTGTCGGAGCACGTGTCTCTGGTGGGTTGTGGGGGCAGGAAGAGGAACCTTGTCCTAGTACTATAGTTCTTTTTTGAATGAGTTTCACATGAAGACACACATCTTGTCCTGTGAAGGTATGAAACACTCCTACAAGTTGACCAAAAGGAGCTCGAGACAACATACGCGACCAGCCGGCGAGCAGAAAGCAGTTTGTAGTCCGGTTGAGGAGAGCCGGTCACCTCAATGTAAAATAGAACCTGTTTGGATTAACAATACCCTTACTTGGCTAATCTGACAACCACAAACCTGAGAGGATTCATTCATATTCATTCTTCATATTCGAATTCTGTTCAATTGGGGCAAACATAGGCAACCCCTCGCTCTGCCTCGCACCAAACTAACAATGGAGGATCCTCTGTCTGTCAAATTGTGGACCCCAAGAAGCTGTTTCGGTCCCAAATGTGGGCGCAATATGTTCCTATAGCCTATAGTTGATGGAGGTTCCCATATATGTAAGGTTTTCCAAACACGACAAATTGTCTGACACAGAAGATATTGCAACTCCCCTAAGCTCAAAGAGGTTTTACATGCTCTGACACTCCACGTCTGGCTGTTGGTGTTGTATTCATCCAGAGTCATGATGCCCAAAGAGGCCCTCCCGCACACCTTGCTCTCAAGCCGAACCCGCCCGATCGATCGCGCGTCATCGGCATCTGCCACGAGACATGGCCACCTTGTCAGCCGTCTCCTCCCGGTGGATTCATCGGAGCGGCGCGACGCCAGAACGACCGGCGGGAGAGCCGGGAGGAAGCGACCAAAGCAGACCGTAGGACTGGCGACCGGCTGAAAGCTGCATGTCACTTCGACCGGGTGACCACACCGAATCACCCAGAATTGACTCCCCTACACCTCCAAGTACCTTCTGAGAAAGTATTTTATGGTATTTTGGGTGGGTGCCAGGAGGGTCCTGTCAGACCTTCTGAAGAGGCACTTGGACTTTCACTGATCCATGTGCCTGTGTGAAAGCTTTGGAACCCTTGCGAAGGTGTGCTCCTTCTGAGCATAGCCGCCGATGAAAGGGTTCAAGTTGCCTGGCGTTGCTCGTCGGTGCGCGGGCTGTTCTCGGGACGTTTGGCCGGCTCTGAGGCGTCTTGAACTTGGAAGGCTCTCTCGGAAGGTGAGCAACCAGTGGGTAGATTATGAAAGGACTGGTCTATTTCCTTTTACCAAATAGACTGGTTAACATAGACTGGTCTATGTCCTTCTTCAGGAGTACTTTAACACCTCCCAAATATGTACCTGCCCCAGCCAGTACCACCCCCCCCTTGGAGGTGCCATGGGGGCCATCCATCCGATTTTTATTTTGTTCGTTCAATGCCAGTGGACCAAACACACGCCAACAGCAATGAAAGAAGTCGATCCGCAGTGGTGGCCCCATTGTGAACTACCACATATATATATATATATGCTTCTTCTCTTGCCCCCAAACAAATCCAGCAGTCTGACGGCTTCTCCCCTTCCAATCTTGGATGAGCACCTTGTTCACCGTCCAGTTCTCCGACCCCGATTCTCCGTCCACCCCTCCGTCCGACCTGTGGTGAATTGCTCCACCAAGGACTGACCAGTGGCTCCGTTCTGTGCCACAATGGCGGCCATCGCCACCATGGCCTGGCGGCCGCTGCACACAACGGGCGGCTGTGGCTATGTCTGTGGTGCATGGATCTTGCCGCATGCGCCACAATTTCTTAAAGGACAGTGACCTTCACAGCAGAAAACACGTATACAAGTCAAACTCCTATGCCTATGCTCAGGGGGACATTCACTTATTGTATAGTGACATAGTTCAGTACCAATTCGCCAAGGGCACCAAGCGCCCGTTGTTGATCTCGGCCAACAGCTTCTTCTGTTTCTCCTGCCGACACCCAAGACTGCCGGGTCTAGGGAGGGCCCTGCAACCAAAGCCCAGTCGACGAGGGGATTTGCAGGGGCTGTTTTGCATGGGGATGTGCGCCTCCCGAGAGAACTGGGAAAAACATATCCTCAGAAGGAGATTCACCCATATAGTGGAAATGAATATCACACCAAGCAATACCAAAGTTTGATGTGTCAAGCGGATTCAAATGAGTTCTCCCTCAGGTGGCATGCGGCGGGGAAATTCTGGATGTCCTTCAAAAGCAGCTTGTTTTGGTGGTTGCAGCTGTTTCCAGCATGTTCCCATGTTTTCCAACATTTGCAGGTCTGATCTTGCTGAATCTACTTGTACATACTATGACCACTACTATGACCTAACGCCTAACACCTCAAGGAACATGGTATCCATCCACCATCATCCACGCGTACCAGCACGTGAATTCTCCCCTGTTCCTTCCCCTCATCCAAAAAAGGTATCCGCAGCCACTGCTTGACCCACACCGTGAGCGGTATCCTCCGGCTCGAGCTTGTCGATCTGACCCCAAAAGGGAGGATAGCCGTAGTTCGTGGGGAAGGCCAAATTCCTCACCGGCTCGGCGGCCCCGCCGAGCGGCAAGGCGCCGCAAAGAAGGCGGCGTAGCGACTCGAAGGATGAATGAAAGCTCCCATTGAGATTGAAGAATCTTTTCCTTTGCGGGGGCTTTTCTTCATCAAGATCGAGTCTACATAAAAAACAAGTAGAATGAATATAACCCCCCCAAACAACAACAGCAAGTCTTGTTGAACAACATGTAAACAACAAGTAGACGGCACCTGAGACCTTTGAAAGGCGGAACAAGTGAAAACACCGATCACGATATGATATGATAATCCGCTGCTGCTGGACCATCCCCAAAGAATAGCGGTTTCCCTCAAGTCTTGGCCTTTCCAATGAAACACCTGGGGAAGACTTCTGTTGCCATCTCATCACTCCACATCCTACCATCCAACTAGCCATCCTAACCAATCCCACCACTGACCCAGTGTCTGCAACTCACCCACCCTTACTAAACCCACAAGTTTTTCACCTCGCCAGGTCATTGCACCTTGCCGTCACCGTCCACATCAGTTCTTCCACTTCCATGTTTTTAGTCCGACTGCGTCCCTGCTCCCAAGGCGCTTGGCTTCAATGGCACCCGCCAAGGCGAAGACCTGGAGCCACCCAGCCACCGGGACCTTGTAGATCGCCTCGCGTCGTCCGCCGATGACGCCGGGTTAACCCTGCGGCTTAAGCGGCGGAAGCCGCGCACGCATCGCGGGTCCGTCACATGGTTCGGTCACGGGAAAGGCCCGGTGTAAAAGGCGGGACGCATGGAAGTTGTGGGTGGCTGTTGGATGTTTCTTTTTTTGTGCTGCGTGTCTCAATGATGCCGAAGCCAGCAGTGTGGTGTTTTCTCTTGGTCGCACTAGGGTAATTGAGGGGGGCTGAGGTGATTCTTTGGGCAAGTATATTTTTCCTGTTTGGGAGGGGTCGAGGACATAAAATGGACATATGTCTCATGCAGCTTGTGGCCGGCTTCTGACTGAGTGGCCCAAGGAAGGAGCCTGTATTGGGTGAGTAGTAGCAGTAGTAGTAGTAGTAGTCGTCCTGTGAAGTTGCGCTTCTACAACTTGGATATCGGACTGATTTTTTCGTGCGTGCTTCACGTTGGCACGCCTGCTTACACTGGCTTACACTTGCATAGTTTTGCGGAGCACCGTGTGAAACAATTGAAATATTTCACAAATCCAAGGCGACTCGGCATGTTTAGATTTGTCTAAAGTCATGAAAATACACGCAAACTCAGAAATCGTCCAAACTTTATAGATCTAGAAAGCTTCCTCCAGGAGGCTGTGCGTGATGTCGACGCACTTTGTGACGTGGTCTTCCAGACTCCAAGATCAATTAGTCGATAAAGATGACAATGTTGGCATGAGAGCTTGCCGCTTGCCTCCGGAAGCTGGTCGTCGCTGTGGCGCTCACGGCGAGACACCACGCCGCTGTGCGCTTTTGCGCCGTCAAGGCGTGGCCCCTTTTAGGTCCTCCCTTCGAAGAGCCTGCCTGAGAGCAGCTTTCTCTTGTGGAAAAGAAGTCCTCTGCCAAGAGCTCGGTACCTTGCTCTGGTGAACTCTCCCGCTGACCAATTTCTCTGGCTCCCCTGGACTGGACAACGAACACAGAAATGATTCCAATATCATTCGAACAAGCCAAGGTGGAGCATCCTTCGAACAAAGCAAGACTCTCCCAGCGTGTAAGAGCCAATGCCATGTGCTAACTTAGCCGCTCACGCCCACATGTAACGCGGGAACAGCCGTCGCCCGAAGCCGCACGCCACGCATGGCCCCAGCAACCGCCCCACGAATCCACTGTTGAGCTGTGAAGCTCTCGCTACGAGAGCCCAGCCACCAAATCCAAGGTCGGTGTTCGAGCAGCGGTGCAGTGAGTTCAATGCAATCCACAGTGTAGCCCCCTAGTTCTGCTTTGAAGCGGCTCTCATAGTGATTCTTCGGCGGGCTTTTGAGCACCCGAAAACCATCGGCGAAACAATGCTTGACACTCAAGAGTGGGACACTCTATTGTCGGATCAGTCTATGTCCGCTGTTCCCAATCTATTCGGGCACGAGACTCCGCGCCCCTCTTGTGGAGCAGTCTCGTGAGACACATGTGGAGGACACTCTTGTGGGACACTCCCGCCGGACACTCGTTGGCGCCTGCACAACGCTCAGCTAGCGGCATGCTGCGTTTAGGAACGCACGTTGCCCGATTGAACGGAGCCACGGAAACGCACTTGCCACCGGTAGCGGTGTAGTTACATACTTTTTTTGATGTCTATGCCCTTGAATTGCCATGTCTATATATATATATATTATATTATATTATATAATGACGCATCCAAAAGAAATTCTAGGTTTGGATGGGTCCCCAGTCTCTTGGCAGTTGTTTTTGTTGCACAAAAGAATCTATACTTCTCAAGAATCTGAGGCACCACCCGAGACATTGGCTACCAAGCACACTTACCCCCAAAGACATGTGGAATTCCAGTCGAATCGTTTCACATGACCCGAAGGCACCGCCCCACGTGCAGCGCCGTCGCGCGCAGTGCGCGCGTGGGACTCTGCGCCTCGATGGTGCAGGGGATGTCGCTGAACTTCAGACCCCTGAAGAACCAGAAGTCGTGGAGGTGTCCCGGAGTCAGGGAGGGCAGGTGGAGACACAAATACGGCAAAAGCACGAAGGAATGGATGGAACTGACCGGATTTGCTATCTCAAATACCATGAATTGCAGAATCTGCAAGATGATATTGCTTGGGCATATGCAGAATGATGATCCTTCATCCCCCTGCTTTCAGCTCTTGTCTCTCGCTCCCTTAACTTAGGGTCCGTCAAAGGTGTCAATGACCAACTACAATCCGTCTGGAACGTGATCATCCATCTTGCTCATCCTGCAAGTATATAGCAGGACTTGCGGACTGTCCCTACCACGGCCCGATTTGGGCGGCAAACATCTTGTATCATCTTGTAAGTAAGTCTATTATATATAGGTACCCTACAGGTCAATGACCTTATTTTACTGGAGGCGGCCATACAAAAGCACAACCTCCAGGAGATCAAAGACCGGGTTTGACTGGGTCTGACCACCAACCAAGGCCAAGGCCAAGGCCAAGGCCAAGGCCAAGGCCTTGCCTGACTCCAGCAGCGCAGCAGCACGCACCCTCTATAACAACCAAAAAGCGATCTCACTCTTTGTCACCCAACAGCACCCCAGGAGTCTGAGGGTGCTCCTTGGGTGAGAGATGCGGCCATTTGGGGTTGCTCCCTCAGCGCCATACACTCAGAGCCTCCCAAAAGCATGTTCTCATTCAGAGAGGCATTTCTGGACCACACCTGCAGTTGACCCTGTCTTCATCATTTTTGACCTCTCTGTTGACCCTGGAAAAAGATGGAAAAAGCAGTGTTTTCTTTTCAGCTTGCATGTGTTCTTTTTCCTTTTTTCACATTTTCAGTTAGTTCCATCTTCTTCTAACATTCCGTTCAACCTCGACCGGCCTCCTCCGCCACGCCCGTTCAAGGCCCCCCCAAAGCCGCCCGTTCAGCGCGCTCCTCGTGTCTCCTCGCCTCTCCTCGCGTGCTCGCCGCGCGTCGCGTCTGCCGGGCGACAGGGAGGGAGACAGATCGCCTCCGAAGCGGCCAAAGAGGTCGGGCACGATCATGCCTCGTCCGGCTGGTGGCGCACTGTCGCCGGAGTGTGTGGGCTGGCGCAGGCGGTGGACCGGGGTTTGGCTTGGTTCAAAGGTGGAGGATGGAGGCTCCTGGGGGCCCGGGGGTGTAGAAGTGGTGAGCTGTCGACAAGAGTATCTTGACGATATTCTTGACTTATACAATTTGATACAATTTGTGATTACTAAGTTCACTCAGACTTCTATGGCTGTGAACAACAAACCCAACTCAGACGCCTGAACTTGCTTGGTTCCTTAGGATCACCAATCGATCCAATGGGGGCTTTTGCACTCATCAGATCGCATCTGCCTCTCTCTGGGGTCCGAACATGCCCTAACATAGCAAGGGTTTCAATCTGACGGAACTGATTCAAGGGTCCCCCATTGCCCAAGCAAGGATGGTTCGCCAACAACCGCAAAACAGGCTCCTTCAAGCTACGAGTAGCAAGGGGTTGGGCGCCTTGTTGTTTTGGGCGAAGATGGAGTGCCCCCGAATGGCTCCGAATCGCTTGCACCAGCGACGCCGGACACCGAAACAAGGGTCCTCCGCCTTTTCAGCTCATGACCACTCACATGGACCGTGAAGTGGAGCACCTAAGAAGTGGAGCATGTGCAAGCATTTTTTCTCCCAACCGCCAACCGGGTTCCACATGTTTAAGGCTCGGCACACCGATTGGAGACACACCGAACGATTTCAGCACCGACCGATTTCAGCATCGACCAACGACCAAGCGGCCGATGGTGGCGACCATGCAAATGCGCCCGTGCTTGAGCTCCAGCTCCCGGTTGCGGCGGAACTTCTCCTCATCCTCGGCGGTTGCATGAGGATGTGCGGTGGGCTCCAGGTTCGTGACCAGGAGATGAGGGCTGGGTGGCAAGGTGGTGGATGGCAGTTGCTGGTATAAGTACGTGCAAGAGAGCAGCCACTGGTTTGGTTCATTCATGTTCATTCCAGGGCATGTCCATTCGTGTTCATTTTACACCTGCACAGTACCGAAACGGGGCTTAAATCATCATGCCCATATGCAGGAACGACACGAAACACGTGTTGACCATCTCTCATTCCAATGATCAAATGGGTGGCCCAGTCTACTCCAAGGCTTCAGTCTACTCCAGTCTGTCTACTCCAACCATGGGCATTGAGAATCCGTTCGGCCAAAGCCCGGACTACCTGGGTTGACCAGAGAACATGAATGGGGACTACACTCCCTGGAACTAACATGGTTACGTGGATGGCCGGGCGTAAGGAAGACCATGAAATCCACTAGAAAACAGCTGGTGCCGTCCACTTCCATGTCAGTTTCCAGGGAGAGTAACTACTAAGGAGGTCAACCTACTAGAGCTCAACCTGACCCACGGCCCTTATGGAGTTCAAGGACTTGAAGATTTGGGGGGAACTTCCCCCCAAAACACATGTGGGGAATTACTACAGAGTGAGGGTGAGAGTAGTGATTCCCCGCAAAAATGCTGCATCTGTAGTAATTCCCCATAGTTCTTTGAGTAGTGATTGTTTTTTCAATCTCTCAAAGAACATGAAATTCTCAACGTGTTGCTGCGACGCCAGTGACAGAGTCCACGAACCGGGCTCACAAGGATGCGCGCGCCTGGAAGGCCATCATGCCAAAAGGATCCCAGTAGCCCAAGGGAGGGCAAGCACCCAACTCCTGCCAGCAGTCAGGGTGCTGTGATCTTTGGAGGGTGTTGTGACTGCTCCTGTGCCAGGTCGCACCTCACTTGCACACCATACATGCACCCCTCCAGGTCTCCAGCTCCCCTGACAATCACTTCATATTCTCACCATCCAGTCACCGTCTTCTCACGGGTCTGGAACCCAATGCTTGAACGACATACTGGCATCTTCGGATCTCGGACTCGCCATGCGGTCGGTCGATGGAAGACATGCGGCAATAAGGAAACAAATTCCACCCAAAACCCTCATATATACCATCAGTTCCTCTATTCCAGGGTGGCACAATCTTCCGTGCCTTTCTTCCATCCACCATCGCCTCTGCGAGAAATTGAACCTCTCTCCACAGCTCTCATTCTAGCTCTTTTCCCTGAGCCGTCCGTCCAAAGAAGAAAAAAGGAGCCTGAGGAGCCCACCTTGCTGGCATCGAACTGGGCAAAGAAGCCCTGGCCATCATTGAAGGGAGAAATGTGTCCCGAGGTGAGCTGCTCCACCGGCGACTGCCCAGTCAAGCCGTTCCTGGGTGCATCACTGCTCCGCGAGTCCCATCGACGGGACCGGCGGAAAACAGGGGGGTTTCGCTTCAACAGGGTTTCATCGACGTTTCAATAGCCAAGGATGTAGGGTGGATGTAGGAGACTTTGAACGTGGATGTAGGGTGCACGTCTCTCTTATTTTTTGGTTCTTGATTGCTGGGCCAAGGACGTCAATGGCGATAAAGGTTTGCGGGGTGATCCACAAGTGTCGGGTCTAGATAGAGCAGGCAGAAAGAGAATCAACTCACCCCACTGGTCCAATCTCTCAGGTTCATACGTCGCAGTATTCCCATCCCCCCCAAAAAAACAACAACAAGAGTCTACCAGCTGCTTCCGTTCGGGGTCACCTGGCTGGATATCTCCGCACTACGTAAACAGGTCTCCAGACAGGGCACCCCTTGGAAGCGCTAGGTAGAGGTTTAAAAGTCGTCCCCAAGCATTCTGAAAATCTACGAATAGACCCAACCCTCATAGGTGGGCCACAAAAAGGCGGGTGTGATTGGGAGGAGAGAGCCAGTATGGAGTCCTGGTAGCCCTTCCAGGTAGTGGCTAGTACTATTCAAGAAATGTGAGTGGCTAACATATGATCCAAAACTTGATTCAAACAAAGAAGTTCAGTTTCTCCAGTATCCTCCACACATCATTGAAAGAAAGTATGAGAGTCCCCCAAAATCGAGAACCGAACCCGCGGCAGCCCCCTTCATCATATCCCACCGTCCTGTGTTGAACGTCGCCAATTCATCCCTATTCATCATCTGAACCAACCACTTCCATTTCCACTGAGCCCAAGGCTATGTTTCTTGAGCTCAAAGTGTACCAAACAAAGGATTCCCTTCACCCCTCACCACCCCAAACCAGCTGGGCGTCTGAATCAACATGGCTGTCATGGCCACCTAAGCCGAGGCTGTCATGGCGTTCACCGCGCAGATGTTCACCGCACAGATGCCACCCGCCGTGAACACTTCAGCCTATTGAACTCTACCCCGCACGTTTGACTCAAATGGCTCAATTCCCAAATGGTGGTTCTTTGGACCTCCCGGTTCGAGCCTTCTCTTCCAGGAACATGGACTAAACGGCGTACTGGTTGCCAGTCCCACTGTCTCACAAATTAAATGTCCATATACCAGGGGTCACAAAGGGGTGGTGTTTGGTCTCTAAGGGAGTGGATACTGGGCACCCCTAACCTCCAATAAGCACCCCTTTGTGACTGCTGATATAGAGCTTTTCCCCCAAAAGGGGTCTTTGGGATTGGTTCACCCTCAATTCGGTTTTGGGGTCTTGGGAACGTGGGAGGGACTTTCGTGTGCCTGGTGGAGATGGAGATCTTTGGGAGAACAAATCATGGCTTCGCCCAAAGGGTCCCCCCAAACCTGGTGTCTTTCATTGTTAGTTGGTTGATTACTAGAGGGGATACCCTAGTTGGTGTACAACCAATAGGTAAATGGTACCATCATTCTTCCCATCGATTCTTCCCGGTCCTACGGACACCACTGCGTCGAGTGCCCGAACAAGGCAATCACCAGTCGACTGGAACAACTGGAACGGAATGCTCTGGGACCGTCCTTTTGGAACCCTTTCCGGGCGACGATGACACCAACGACACCAACACGGTTGGATGGATGACCTCATCACCCAAGGGAAGATCGACCGGGTGGGACTGTGGTGCTGGTCACAGACATGACCGTGGTGCTGGGCAACTTGGGTTTCTGACATGGACATGAAAAAAGGCAATGGACTCACCAACCTCCTTGAACACCTCCTTTCACTTTGGGCAAACATGGAATGCCCTGGTGATCTCCTGCCCGCCCAACAAAAACACACATCATAACAGCTTTTTGCCAACACACACACACACATGAACACACATGAACACCATGTAAAAAAAATAAAACGCACCCATTTCGGCACAAACCCCTTGGATCTGACCTCCAATACGCCTGATCCTCATCCCCACCCCTCCATCCGCCGGTGTCACTATCGATCGAACACCGGTGTCACCAAGTCGCCATGGCCAAGCGCCCATTGTTCAGCTCGGTGGTGAGCTTCAGACGCCGCTCCGCGGGGTCCGCGATCTTGCGTCCCCAGTAGCCGGTGCCTCGGGGTGAACGCCACGCGGCACCGCGAAGGAGAAGACAACGAGGAAGAGTTGGGCGGCCGGAGGGGAAGGCCAAGGAAGCCAAAGGCAACTTGGGGTTAGGTGACCAGGTAGCCTATTGATGGGGTATTTCAGGGGTACTTCAGCCCAAGCGGAGGATTCCTACAAAAAGGCGAAGGTGCATCAGCAGGAATAGCAAGACGTCGACTAGTTTCAATGCGTTAAGGAGTCCAGGAAGTGGCAACCATCGAACCATCCAAGAATGCATAGCAGGTCATGTCAGTCAGGGGAAGTCGTAGTCTTAGTGATCTACCTTGAGTCTCCAATGACCCTTTTAAATTTGCCTTTCCAAGAAAAAGAGTTTTTTGAAAGAAAGCACTCTTTTTTGCATATGTCACGAAATGTTCCTTTTTTGTTTGTGCCCTGTCAGATCCTCCTTAGACAGTGTCCTGAGACCTTTTTTCGGCGTCCAAAACGCGTCTTTTTGCGTCCAAAAGGCGTTTTTAAGCGTCCGTGCCGGACGCGTCCGGATGAAGATTCACTCTGCACCTTTTTTTGAGTCCTCATCTCTAAAAACGCGTTTTTCGAGCAAAAACGCAAAAATATTAGACCAAAAACAAAAACGCAGAAATAAAAGGTCTTTGGAGACTCAAGGTATATAGAAATCAAAGAAATGGACGTTTTTGACTCTCTGTCACGAAGAACCATAGTTAAACAAAATGCAAAACAACAAACACAACCAGAAGCTGCCTCACTATCAACTCCCCATATCCACACCCCCTCAAACAAGCAATTCCCTTCGACTGCAAACTGATTGCGGGCCTGCATTTACCACCTCTTTGCCTTCGACACCAACACTGCTCACATCAACGGGTCGCGCATGGCGACGCCCTCAACAGCTAGTCCGTCCAAGGGATGCGAGCGCTCCACGCGGTTGCAGTCGCCTATCACCGAAACGAAGTGTATCAGGTCCATGTTCCGCTTCGATGTACGTCTCCAGGGGTGACCACGGTGACCACGTCCAAGACGTCGTCCTTTCCCTCTTCCAAAGCAACGGCGCCCAAGCCAAAAGCGCCTCTCTCTCTCTCTCACCGTACTGCCACCGTACTGCCGTTCCCGCGTACCGCCCTTCGTTCCCCGGACAGCCGTCGTACCGCCGCTCGTCGTACTCCGCCGTCGTAGCTCGGCCCGGCCAAGGGACCGAAGTTGCCGGGCTCGCCGTACTTGGCGTAGGCGAAGCCTCCGAAGGACTGGTCCTGGCGCCGTGCGGCGCGCGGTATGGGTGTGTGGCACGGCGGAGTGAAGAATGAAGAGACAGTAGATGGGGCAGGGTAACAAACTACCACACTTCATGTCCGGTGTCCATCACCATATTCCAAATAAAACACTCCTAACCACCGACCCATGTGGCTCATGTATGCTCATGTGCCATTTCATGTGGCATTTCTGGGGCGTAGACGCCGAGACTTTCTCCACCGAACCGGTGAGGTCGTCCTTGAAGAGCTGAGTCTCAATGAGCCCAGCGACCTGTCGGAAGCTGTTGATTTCCAATGTGGGTTGTTCTGGAAGCGGGTCAGTTTGAGGAAACCTCTTGGGCTTCCTTCTTAGGTTCTTGATTTTTTTTGGTGGGTCTGAATCTGATGAGAACCACGTCAGGGTCGTGGAAGATGGCGCGGATACGAAACTGGTGATAGGTGATACGATAGCTTCCAGACTCAATCATACCCAGTTATGTCCTATACACAGTCTACAGTCCAACACGAAGCTACGATTTTGATGATCAAGAAGACCCGCCCAGCATCTGCTTGTGAGGCGTGCTCTTAAGTGGGGATGCGTGCGGGAGACGGCGTTGTTGTCTCTGCTAAGCCTTTTTGCTTAAACCATTGGATCCTTAAAACTCGCGTGTGCTCAGAGGAAAATGTGTAAGGACTATAGGAACAAGGACGCTACGAACGGAACAAAGGGCATCGCGGCATCGCTAAGGAGCCTTCGGACGCGAACCGAAAAAACGGTAGCTACTGGCCTTACTAGGAACAAGAAGCTATTAGGAACAAGTGCATCGCTT